TTTGCATAAAGTTAAGCATAATGATAACAAAAATAACTTTGATCGTTAAAACAAAAAAAGACTTTTTAAATAAAAAAAATTGTAAAAGCTAATTATATCTGGCCAATTCAAATTTAAAACAGTTTTATTTCAATCGTAACTTTTTACTGAAATTAAAAGTAAATCTTTAGTTTAAGTAAATTTTTCAGTGTTTACTTGCCATTGAGTTTTTATTAGAAAGAAATTGCCTAAAAAGATTTATTTTTTGTTTAATTGCAATTAATTTAAAACAATTTATCTAGTTGTCCAATTAGCAAAAACCAACTAAAGTCAATTAAAGATTTTTCAACAAACACATAATTTTGCTAAAAAATGGCAAAAAAAGTTCTAACAGTAAGAAAGTTATTTGCCAACAAAATAGTTTTTTGTCAACTTGTTTTAAAATATAAAATTGAATTTTTGCGTCAAAAGTTTTTTGTTGTGTAAAAAAATTAAAAAACACAAAAAAATTTAAAAATCACAAAAAGTAGACAAAATTAACAGTTACTTTCACTGCAAAAGACGCAAGTAAAAATATCTGGAGTGGTAGCACACCTCAAACATTTATGATTTGAGATGTCTGTAAAACAAAATGTGGCCTAGTTTTAGCATTTTTCTGTTTACATAGAAAACATCAAGTTTGTGGTAACAACGTTTCAACTAATTTGATTAGTTGACTTGCATACAAATAAACGAATAAAGTTTTCCATTATTTTGGCCAAGTTTTATTTGAGTCAAGTCCTTGCAAATAATAAGAAATACATTAATTACTACTATTAGATACACAAATACTTTTTGTTTTTTAAAACGCACATGTATGCTTAAAAATTTATATGAAAAGTTACAGTAACCTAATTTTTAAAGTATTAAAAATTGTTTGTTAATCTCCTTTCAAAACAGAAACTCTTTTCGAGCCCATAACTTGACATGTTATCAAGATTAATTTACGCTTTTTTGGTGTTCCAGCAAATAAAGCCAATTTAAAGTTTGAAACAATGCAAAATAAGACATCATGCGGATCATCGTCATTTGTGCTCGCCCCACTTTTTGTTTCGCACGCAATAGAGCCATATTCAGAATTTAATTATGCGCTTTGTAATGGAATTTATTGCACATGCAGTATTAATATTGATAAATGACCGCCAATTGGACAGAAGGGCTCAGGATAAAAATTAATATTTCTTTATACTCTCAGTTGAGATGCATTTTGGTGGTAGTGGTAGTGTTGTTGTTGTTGTTTGTTTGTCTGCGCAGTTTGCACTTAGCCAGTGCCATGGGAAGCCAGCAGCCTTCAAGGCGAGACTTCATGGCAAATTGCTCTCCAGCGCGCACAAATGGATCAATATTGGTATGAACACACTATTTTTAATCTATAAATCACGGCACATTTTGCCACGCATATATTTGCGCCTAATTATGATAAATTGATTTGTCGTCAAACTCACTTTCTTGCCTTCTATTAGCGCTTAACCCATTTTAAAATTTTCAATTTTTTAAATTAGCAAGCTTTTTTCAGTGCATAACTTTCTTTAGTTTGCTTATGCAGCAACAGCCACTTTGGCAAAAATAATTTGTAAAAAGCGAAGCAAAAGGAAAAGAGGGGGAGGGGAGTCATCGCAAAACAAAATCAATTTCTGGCTAATTGTTCAATAAATCAATTTGCGACGCCAGAACAAATGAGCCTGGGCACCAGTGAGAGCTGCTGCTGATGCTGCGGCTGCGACCACGACGACATGCTGTCGATGGAGGCGGCGGATAAAAAGTCACCAGTAAAAAGCAGTGGACTTACCAGAGGCGACGGTGCTGCAGTGCCACAGAAGAAGAAGCAGAAGAAGACAGAGGATGGAGTGCCACTGGTGGTGGCCGTGGTGGCTTGTCCTGTCTCTGCTGGGACGTCTGCTGCTGCTCTGCAATTGGCATCTGCCATCGATTGATCTTTCTCCTGAACTTGGCCACAACTTGTGGTGGTACTGTTGTTGAAGCTGCCGCTGCTGTGACTGGTGCTCTCGAAGGCTCTCCCACCACTTCAAGGTACTACTGATGGTGTCAGGCAGTGCAGCACTGTTCACTGTTCTGCAGCCTGATTCAAATAGTGGCCGTGCTGGCCACAGCAGCACTGACTCTGCTGTTGATATTTCATCCAATAGTCGATAATTGCCGCAGTGCTCTAACTGAGTGGACCACGGTTCACTTGACCCGGCTGGTCTTTCACCATAGTCGTCCAGTGCCGCTGTTCTGCTGCAGCTGTCCACCGACTCACTTCGGTCGCTGGGCACTTTTCGTTTGTTCTTTCTCATATCTGCAATCTGAGTACTGTCGGTGGGGTGATTACTTCTTTGCCAAATGAACTTTTTTGCTCCGATCTAATTAAAATTCAATTTCACTGACTGATGCTGCCGTTGTGACATTGAACTGTAAAGGTGCTGATGATGATGGTGAAAATAGTGATGGTAGTGGCAGTAAAGATGATGAAATGTATGTCAAGAGATCTGAGGCTGAGAACACATTGCGCCCACTGGTGCGGAATTGGTTCGATTTGCTGGCTGCTGCTTTGGTGTGTTAAAAGGCAGACTTTGGACTTTGCTTTTGCATTACATTGTCCCTTTTTAACAATTTGTGCTGTGTGTGTTTTAATTTATTTATCGCAGTGCTCACATCTTTGCCTTTCAATGTCTTAAATATCGTTTGCTCGTTGGCTTGGAGAAATCATTATTTCAGTCATTTTGTGCTTTTTCATTATTTTGCTTTTTATATAAAATTTAATGATTTGGTTTCTTCCCACTTTTGAGTAACTCAGTCGTCGTCGTTGTAAATGGATTCGTTTCATGCGAATGTTTGCCCGAATACAAGGCACGCACTTTTCCGCTTGTCAAGGCGTTTACTGCGCTAGAAAAAAAAGAAAAAATAAAAAATAATTAAAATTTTAATGTTTAACACACATTATGAAATAAAGAGTATAATAATAATTCATTTAAATTGGAAAATTTCTTCTTTTTAGTTGTATTTTCAAAGAAAATATTAACACAATTGTGACTTTCAATTGTACTAGTATTGCACGGATAACTTTATAATAAAAAATTAATGATAGGAAATGTGATAAAGGAGTAGTTGAGTTTTGACATAATGGCAATGTTTGTGATTGCTTTAATTAAAATTGAATTTATTTGTTGACGCATATATTGTTAAAATCGGCAAATTTTTTAAAGTATTGAATAAACCGCATCATTAAAAAAGTTTAAATAGTTTAGACCGTTATCAATTTTGTTTTAAAAACAACTGTTTTTTAGAAACAAGCTGCGCAGCATTTTTAATAATAAATAAAAAATAAAAAATGCTTAAGTTTTTTGCTTTCAGCTCAAAAGTTGCAAGATTGTTTGTCTAAGATTTAGCACTTATATTCTAGTAGCTATCTAAAATTATTAATTTGATGCTGAGCTTTTAATTTACATCTTATGGTCGGCTTAAAGGTTTTAATCTTATAACTGTTTTCCAGGAATACTCTCTCTTTGTCGCGTCATTCAAGTTTAATTTTTTTAAAATGTAAAAGCATAATTTGACACGATTTTTCGCGTTGCAGTAAGGGCCAAAAGGCAATTTTCTTGTCGCAGTGTAATGGCTTACCATTGCAATGCATTTACATTTTAGCCAATTTCTCAATTTGCAGTCAACACAACACTGGTGAAATGTTTTCAGTGACGGCAGAATCAGCAGCAACAGCACCAACGGCAGCAATCTCAATGTCTCATTTTAGCCTGTCAATTCATAAATCACAATTATTACCCTAAACCTCCACTTGTGTCTGTGTTGGTGAAATTCAATCTTACTAAAATGTGCCTTTTTAGAGATCGCTTGTACGACAAATTTTTACGTTTTAAATTTGCATGTAAATCGTCACTCAGACAACAACTTTTTTAAAGTTTGCTTGATCATTTTTTTATTTGTCACTGTCAAACACTAACACAAATATTTGTCGTCATTTTTGTAAACTTTTCTTGTTTTTTTAAATTAAGTTTTCTGATAAAAAAATAAACATTTTATTTTTAAAAGATTTTTTACTTTTAAAGATCTTTTGATAATCAAAAAATAAAAAAAATTTAAGTAATTTTTTCTTTTTAAATTATAAATGAACATCATTTAATAAATTGTTTACCATTCATGCTTTTAACTTGACTGTTTCTCTTTTATATTAAAGATCAGAGATATTTTTGTTATGGAATCTTTTAAAGCTATTTAAAAGTTTAAAAGTTTAAAACTTTGTAGTACAACGTGACAAAACGTTATGTACAATGCATGTTTAAAAAGTGCTCTGATCATTTAATTTAATTATACTTTAAACTTAAATTTTATTTTAATTTTAAATTAAATATTGGCACAAACAGACAGCTTTTTGTACATGCTAAATTGTAATTAGAAAAATATTATTAGTCCTAATTAGCAACAACTACACTACAGTAGAGTGCAGTGTAGACTTAGAGTCACATTATTAACTTTATGTAAAGTAATTTGCAATGCTTCGTTAAGAAAGAATCAGTTCAAATTAATTTAATTTTTAAAATTCAATATCAAGAATGTTTCTTAGGTTTTAGATGCTTTACTTGAAGTCATTTTAGAACTTACAAATGACCAAAAATCACGTTGGTTAAATTGGCAATCAAGACTAATAGAAAACAATTGGGGTTGTTTCAATTTTGAGTGAATTGAATTTTTGTTTCTTGTTTCTGGTTTCAATTAGCATTACTGCCAATCATGAATGTTTGATTTGAAAAACAAACTTTTCCACTCCATTAGGCTGCATTTGGCTGAGTAATCGAGAGAAAAAGGCGAATTATTCACTAATTAGAATTGAGTCAAATAAAAAGTTCTATAACTGGTCAACAACTGTAAAAGTTCAACTTTTGACACGTTTTATTTAGAAAGCAAAACTTTTAATTTGCGTACTAAATATCAACTGCCTAAGCTTTTCCAAAACCTCACCCCCTGCAATGCCGTACACTGACGATCAACGCAAACTCGTTCGCGAGGTGTTTGTCTCCTTCAGCGATGATAAGAAGAGCCTGGTAATCTCGCAGAAAAAGATCCGTGAAGTCCTGAGCACCCTGGGCATCGCCGTCACCGACGACGAGGTCTTTGAGTTGTGCACGAAGATGCGCATTCACAAGAACGCCAGCATCACCTTCAAGCGTTTCATCGAGACGCTCGACCAGATGATCGACACCGTCTCGGCAATCGACGAGTTCGACGCCGCCTTCAGCTCCTTTGATCGGAACGGCGACGGCTTCATCACCACCGCCGACCTGCGTCAGGTCTTCAATGACATGGGCATGAGCTTCCCGGAGAGCGATCTGGAGCGCCTGCTGGCCGCCGTCGACTCGAAGGAGGCGGACCGCCGAGTCAACAAGGAGCAGTTCACTCACTTCATGCAGGCAGTCATCAGCGGCAAACAACAACAGCAGCAGGAACAGGAGGAGGAGGGGACGCCTACGGGCGCCAGCAAGGCAGCTCCCGGCGGCACTAGTTCCTCTTCGTCGAAGAGTCTCAGCAGCGAGGAGGCGGCCGCCAAAGACAAGAAAAGCGAAAATTAATTTTCCACCACTGAACACCCTGGCGCCCTCTACTGTTTCACAAACTATGTTTTTATTTTTTCAATTTGAAACAACTTACAACTTTATTTTATAAATGAACTCCTAATGTCTTTCTGCAATCTCTGCTGTTTTTGAGCTGTGTGTGTGGTTGTACTTGTGATATTAAATATGTAAAAGTGTTTTTAGTGTTAGAATCGCCATTAGTGTGCACTCACGAACTGTTGCGGAACTTTACTTAGCGATTCGTTTGCCTGTTTTCCNTCTGCTGTTTTTGAGCTGTGTGTGTGGTTGTACTTGTGATATTAAATATGCAAAAGTGTTTTTAGTGTTAGAATCGCCATTAGTGTGCACTCACGAACTGTTGCGGAACTTTACTTAGCGATTCGTTTGCCTGTTTTCTTGCATACTGTATAATTGATTGGTTGTGGTAGAATCACTTTTGTTAATTTACTAACAATTAGCAAGCATTGTGTATGTTTAACAAAGTTGTGTGAGTAATGAAAGGAAAACACACAAAAATACACTTAGACTAATGCAGAGATATTTCGTGCAAAGAAACGTCAGACAAGTCAAATAAAAATTGAGAAAGTAAATGTTAAATTTTGATATTTTTTTGTTTGGGCGTAACCCTACATTCAGAAAAATACACACAAATACTAATTGTCTGTGGTGCCAGCCTACTCAGTAAGTCACCTGTCAGACAAATCGATTTATTTATATAGTGCACAGATTGTCATTAAACAAACCAAACAACAACAACTGAATATTTTAAGTTCTGCTGAAGCTGATGATTTGCAAAAAGTGCATCAACAAAAAGTATTTGTAAACGTTCAGCTCTGCTGCAATTGAAAGTACGCAAAATATTTGAGTAGTAATGCAAATGTAATTAGTAAGGCTTATCAGTGGCATAACCTGCTTATTAGTGAGCAATTAGGCAGATCTAATGAACTTTCAGCTCAGTTTCAAATCAGTGTTTTCCAGCCCACTAGTGCTGATGCCACTTTAGCTCCCTCCTATCAGTGTTCGTCATCTGGTCAGTTTCAATAAATAAGCTGACAGTATCACTGTCAATCTGCGACCACTGGTAATGCGCAGCGCAGAGGTGGCTCAAGCCCAAGTCGGTGGTAAGCAAGTATCACTGACTTTAATCTGATGATGATGATGATGATTGCAGTGTCTAGCAGTCGACAAGGAAATTAGCCGCAGGATGCAGATTTACTGTCTGCCAAGCTGCAAGAAAAGGCACAATCAGACGATTGTGATGCAACTGTTCAACATCCTGTGACAGGTTTAAATTAAAAAAAGAGTGAAATTGAGTTCAGTAGTGGTAGTAGTAATGTTGGAGAAACATGATGGGGCAACGTTCTCATAAATCACCTCCAATCAAATGGCAGCAATTTATGAGTTAATTCAATGGCAAAAGTTCTTACAGTTCACTTTTTTGTGTGTAGATGCCCTAAAAGCTAACCACTTTGTTGGCGTTTTGAGTGGCAAGTATCCATTCACATTTGCATCTGAAGCTTCCAACCTCTGATCAGATGATTGAAAGGTGAGTAGATTAAGTGCGCCACAAGTGTGCAACCTCTCTCTTCGATTGCCTTATCTGCAGGCCCACTCGTAAACCACCCTGACAGTTTCCACCGTTTCCAGTTCTACCGGTGTGAGTTCACGCCAATTAAAGAGCACTGCTTCTGCCCTGCGCAAGCCGACTGCCAGCCTCGTCGTCTACCGCCAGCTGTCCATATAAATTATGATCGCTTTATTTAATTAGACACTCGCCAAATCTTTTTTTCTTTTTCTCTGATTTGCCCTCCACCTCAAAGTGACTTTCACATTTTGGCGTGCGTACATTCTGAAACCCACTCAATAAAACTTTTCTGTGTCTTCTTTACTCTTTTTAAATTTAACGCCCATTTGGCGCGACGATATTCTGCAGGCTGAGTTTTTTTAGCCAGACAAACCTACTGTCACGATTGACAGCAGCCCAGTTGCGCTTGTTTGATTTGTGCAAATGTCAAAATAAATTAAAAACTAATTTAATATTATTTTTAAGGCAAGAGTGCGGCGATTGCAGCGCCTCTAGCGGGCTATGGGGTTTTACATGTAAATTTTCATTTTACATTAAATTTATACAAATTTCGGCTATTGCACCCAAAATTTTGGTTTTAGTCTTAAAATAATTTTAAAGAGTTAATCTTGAGCTGTATTGAGGATTTTGGCAAAATATTGTTTTGTTGTCGTTTTGTATTGAGTTGAAGTCGAAAGCAACACGTTTTTTAACTTTGAAAAATCATAAAAAATTTTCAGAGCAAAATTTCACTAAAATCCTCAATAGAGCTCAAGATGAACTGTTTAGGATTATTTTAAAACTAAAACTAAAATTTTGGGTGCAATAGCCGAAATTTGTATAAATTTAATGTAAATTGAAAATTTACATGTAAAACCCCATAGCCCGCTAGAGGCGCTGCAATCGCCGCATTCTTGCCTTAAACGTCTAGCCTGCTCAAAAAAAATAAAAACTGAAAGTAAATTATAGTTTTTAAAAACTGAAATAAGAATTTTATAGTGCTCTGATTCAGTTTTCTCATTCTAAATTATAACTGTGTAATAAATTAATTGAAGAAACAACTATGGGCATTGGTATGGGCGACTATTTGACGATTGCTTCGATGAACAAAAACGTACTACCAGTAATTTGTAAATGTATCGAACAACGAAAAAAAGTATAAAAAATTGGTAACTTTTCAGTGGCGATAGCGATCACACACACACTCACACTGATTGTTTGAGATGGTGCTCGCACCATTTGCCTCCGACAATTG